AATCACTCCCTGATAAAAATTCAGGCAGCTGATTAATAAAGAAGTCAAATTAAATTCAAAAGGACAACCTTTACATGGTACAACCTTTGTACTGTGAGGCTTAAATCACTGCGGAGATCTTACAGTGACGCTTGCTGGCTTACTGATGTCCAGCACTCTGGTGTTATCAGTCACCTAGCCAACTTATGGACATGGATGGATAAGAAAAGGTCCACACAGAAATCGCCGCAGCAACTGCCGCGCGCGACGATTCTCGCCGCGTGAGCGGCGTGACCTCATTAGCCGACGATTGAATTGACCGTCTCCCCTTGTCTCGCCATCGTACCACATCCGACCTTATTGAAGGTTAAGGCCTTAAGTTTCAGCGTTCTCAAAGATTTCTCTTGCTTTCCTTCCACTTTCAGGTCGTTCCGCAGCTAAGCTATCACTACGAAGCGCTGATAGCACCAGTTAATCCCGGGGTTTGCCTTTAGAATTCGCTTGGAATTCGCTATGTTGCTGAAACCATCCAATTTCTTCATCTCTTCGTAGCTCAGTTCAAAAATCTTGTCTGCTGAAAAAAAAATTATTTGATCACCCACTTGCACTTGACGAGCTCTAGCTTTTTCAGCCACCACGTGTGATACTTCAGACTCTCGCGTATCCATCACAAGTCCGACCACTTCACTAGGACGGGCCGTGTCATCGCCGAATTTGAATTGAGTACCTGAAACAATGAACATTTTCTTGCAGTGTTTTCATATTCTTTTTGATTTTCCAACTTAAAATTGCAGCAAGTAATTCCCTTCTTATGACCTCTTCGATAAATTTTTTCAATGCAGTAACAGAAACACACTGCAGGTGCAAAGGCCGATATGTCACACTTCCCAGATGAATCAGATGACCGTTAGCTCGAACGATCGTAGGCCTCATTAGCTAGAGATTCGATCTTAGCTTTGTTACCGAACGTGCATGTAACGCCGCCGCAGACTCATGCCCCAACCCGGCTCAAATATGTACTTGATTCCCGGTACGGATTCAAAATTACTTTATGATGACCTGATATTTCCAACGTTGATAGTCACTTTAAAAATTCGACAAAAGAAAGTGTACCCGATGAAAAACAGCTATTTGATCTTCTATTGCACCGTAGTCTTGCAAAACTTACAAATAATCATATATCTTACTCAGCCGATCTTGACGGAAATGGGGTGAGATATGGGTGAGAGAGATTGATGCGCACTCTTTGTACACAGATGCTCTCAAGAAAAGTGCTTGATGAATGTTAAGGAGGAAATAGTAAAGAATGGGAAGAACGCTTAGCATAGTTTATACGACGACTTTTGCTTCGGTTCATTGAGCAAATTGCAAGTTGTGGAATATTGATCGATATTTTCTCACCTAAAAGCTGTTCCAAAATGAACTCGAATTTTGTAACTGGCGAGGCAAAGGCCTCGTCAATTCAATCCTGGACACGATTCCAAGACTGCTCGTGTGGTGAACAATACCGTCAAAAAGGAAATTACCTCAAGCGTTTCTCGCCATAGCTCATGAAAACTTCATATTTTTGGTTGATTTCTTGATACGTTACCACCACTAATGATTTGAAATGTTCCTTTGACTGGGATTTTGAAAAAAAAACTTTGTTCCAATTTAATGATCATTTTTCACATTTTCCAATCATGACAAAATTTCGCGTAATTTACCGTTTCAACTAAGTCATACCGTACTATCACGAAGCAAAAACCCCGAAAAATAGGAAAGCTTGCCTGAAAAATTTGCCGCTTTTGTGGATTTTCAAAAGAAATTATCCCCGTTGACAGGATTGATCTCCTGCCTATTGCACCTCGCATGGGAACCCATAGAACATGAAAACTTGTTGTCAAAAATCAGCCAAAAATCAACTTTGACATGAAATAAGGCCGGAGACGCTGCTATGAGATGTAAATGACAAAAGAATTGCCAACTTAGGGCTAGAACATTTTCGACACGGAGGAACTCATATCTAAGCTATTGCTAATTTTGTCAGAAAACAAAAAAATATAATAGAATACAAAAAATATAATAGAATACAGCAATATCGATTTGTAAGTAATAGACAATGCAATGTGTATTAAATTTGAAACCTTACTTCCGAAACTATTGGATGAATTAGGTCAACTTATTAGGTAAATTATTTGCTTGATTGTAGTTCCTCTGGGTATTCTTTACTGATTTTGTGCGCTTTACTTTCCTTGAATACACTCATAGCTTCTTATACTACAGTTGTAAGTAGGAGGGGAAGCGTGTAGTGACAAGTGGTGCTGCTTACTGCGCGTACGGCCTTGGATTGTAATCCTGGAAAGTAGTCATTCAGGCCAGCCAAGCTTTCCATCCGCCATCGTCGGATAATAAAAAAAGGATAAAGCATTTGCCGTTGATCAATCCCTTTTTGGGATGCGGCACGCATTCTACTTCCATTTGTACATTCGTAGTGGCGTTTGAATGCGATGTGGCCTATACAATGATCTGGTACCAATTAACCGACCCCGGAGGGATGGAAGGCTTGGTTGGCCCGGGCGACTCACGACCCAGGATTTGATCCTCGGACCGCTCGCGTGGTGAGCGTGCCACTTGTCACTACACCACTTCCGCTCCGTCGGTTTATGGTGTCCCGGTTAATTGAGTCACATAAAGACGCTTTTGCCTGACCGACTTGTTCATCCTCTGGCCCCCAAGCCCATTGGTAACAGCCCCCGAAAAGCCAAATCAAATCCACCACGAATTCTGAATGAGTGGAATGCGTGCCGCTTTTTCACGGGGAAAGGGTCCAGCATTCGATTTTCTCTTTTATCTTTCACACAGTTCTGTAATAAACTCTAGTTATTTTTTGTTTGCTGAAATTTTTCCGTTTGTTCTTTTTTTTCATGGTTTGTTTTAATGTTTTGCCATCTCAACAGCGTCCCCTTTCGTACGCGGTAAGTAAAAGATCCTACTAACTATAAAGCGCTTCGTCTGTCGTCTGTCGTCTGTCGTCTGTCTGTGTGTCTGTCACGAAATTCCCTAGCTCCTCGGGATCCGCCTGGAGGGACCGGGTCAAGTGTGGAATGGGTGGGCAAGGTCTCACGTAATACAAAACACACATCAGCTAAGCGGAGCCCCGCCCACAGAGGGCGTGGCGTGCGTCGAAATGAACTGTACCGAAGACCAAGATTTCGATTTCAGTGACAAAACGACCTCGAAACTGAGCCAAAAAGTGGGTAAAGGTGTGCATTGGTAAGTCACATCGAATTAGGGAGACCCACCCCCGGTGGGCGGGCGTTCTCTAAAAAAGCAGTGCTTTATGAAAAATTTCATAACTCGGTTGGGAGAAAGCCTACAGAGCAGAAAACAATTTGGTGTAAGGGAGCAATGTCTAAAGGTGTTCTTCCAGCACGTGGGCGGCATCGCCCAGAATGGGCGGAGCGCGCTCTGAAGTGTACAGCACCTTTTTCTACAGGTCCTCATAATTTGGGCCGGGAAAGCCTTAATGAGCCGGAAAAAGGTGTATAGATGTGGATGGAGGGGTGGAGGCTAACCGTCATCGGTGGGCATGCCGGTGGCTTTGAGAAACATCAAGAGGCGCAGGCCCGTAGTCTTACTGCGACGGAAATTCATAACTCGGCTCCAAGAAGTCCCGGAGGCCGGGAAAAAGGTGGATGGAGGTGGGTGGAGGAGTGGAGGCCCAGCTGTCATCGGTGGGCGGGGCTTGACCAAAGTGGGCGGAGTTTGCGACGAAAATTCATAACTCGGCTCCAAGAAGTCCCGGAGGCACGGAAAAAGGTGGGTAGAGGTGGGTGGAGGAGTGGAGCTTAAATACCATTAGTGGGCGGAGCATGTTCAAAGTGGGCGGAGTTATCACGAAAATTCATAACTCGATTCCAAGAAGCCCGGGAGACCGGGAAAAAGGTGCATGGGGGTGGTTGAAGTAGTAGAGCTAGAATATTATTGGTGGGCGGAGCAAGTCCTAGGTGGGCGGAGTTACCCAGGAAAATTCATAACTTGGTTCCAAGAAGTCCTGGAGAACGGGAAAAAAGTGGATATAGGTCAGCAAAGAAAGAGAAGTTAACTGCTACGGTGGGTGGAGCGTGCGCTAATGTGGGCGGAGTTTGCGCCGAAATTGTAATTCGGCTCCAAGAAGTTCCAGAGGCCGGGGAAAAGGTGGATGGAGGTGGGTGGAGGAGTGGAGGCCAGCTGTCATCGGTGGGCGGGGTTTGATCAAAGTGGGCGGAGTTTGTGACGCAAATTCATAACTCGGCTCCAAGAAGTCCCGGAGGCCGGGAAAAAGGGAGTAGAGGTCGGCAAAGGAAAGGAGGTCAACTGCTATCAGTGGACGAAGCACGCACCTAAGTAGGCGGAGTTTGCCACGAGATTTATTGTCCGGAAGCAGTCCGGAGACCGGGAAAAGAGAATAATGGTTGACGAAGAAAAAGAGGTTGAAAGCCGTCGATGATGGAGCGGATAGAATTTAGCTGAGAATTCAGATATTCGTGGTGTATCAAGCCAAATTTGAAAATTTTCGTCGCACCATCAAAATTCGCCGCAGATCTGTGTTGCGCGCGCAATGCGTGCGGCCGCTCCAACTGGTAAAGGATAAAGCAATTTGCCGTTGATCAATCCCTTTTTGGGATGCGGCACGCATTCTACTTCCATTTGTACATTCGCAGTGGCGTTTGAATGCGATGTGGCCTATACAATGACTTGCGGGGGCCAGCCGATGTACAAGTCAGTGTTTTTATCCTCCCAGACAAGTCTGGTACCAATTAACCGACCCCGGAGGATGGACCGGCCCTGTTTTTGGCCGCCGGCCCGACTCCGAACCAGGATGCGACCCCGCTGGACCCACTAGCGTTTTGGTAACGCGTGCATTTCCCTATACCCCACTTCCGCCTGTAATGTAAGTAAATAATAAATGAATAATGGCAAAGATTCCTCACCAAGAAGCATAGCTGCGCACATGAAGATGCTGCACATAACAAAGCAAAGCGTGTAGTTCTTCTCGGTGGTGTTACTTGTGGGGCATGGATGATTTCGGAATGTATCAGAGTAGTCGAGTCCCCCTAACCAAGAACTTCGTCAGGGAAAATATCTAGAGCTACCAACAGTCTAGTGATCTAAACGATTATCAGGCTTTAAAAAGAAAAAAAAAAAAACAAAAAAAAAAGAAAAAAAAAAAAAAAAAACCCCCCCCTTATCCGGTACATTTCCCCAGTTTAAGGATTGCAGGAAGGAGGACAAACAGAACAGAGGAGTACAAATGCCGGTAACCAAAAGTATGTGGACACCCTAGAATCGATTCTCAGGAGTCAGCTAAAGGCTTTTTGTGTTATGAAACCTTCACCATTCAACTCCTAGTGGTCGATAACCTACAATGATATTCTCGGCAAAAGGAGGATTGTCGTTTCTATCACTATTAGCGAACGGTATGTGTCTTCTATGAAAGTTCACTGTTGTTTGGTCTTGTGTATCAATAGATTATGCTGAGCAGCCCGGTGAGTGCGAGTATTAGATGACGTTTTTGCATCGATTTCCTAACCTATTTTTACTTCTCCTTTCGTTACTTATTCTGGCATCATTCCTCTTCACGACAAGCGTTTTTCTGAAGAAGACCGAGCACAGAAATGGGATCCCCATGCTTCTGAACCTTCCTATTGCGATATAGCACGTCAACCAGTCATGCGTCCTCGTAGGTTTGGAGAGAAATCCGAAATCCTGATGCTAAGCTCTCGACCTTGACTGAGGGTTGTTCTCAATCGCTACTTGTTCAAAACAGGAGAAGAATAGCCTTAATTTTCTCAAATTATTCTTTTCGTACTACTCAACTTTACGCATAAATGATCTTCCCGATCTTAAAAAAGACCAATCGGTGTCTCAATCAACTCAATTGAGCACACGAGACGAAGAAAGGCTTTTTTTTGTTATATGATGCGGGTTCAGGTTGCAAGGCGGAATTCCCTACTCAAAACATATATATATATGATCACTCCTTTTGACACCCACAGAGGCCCAGTGTTTTCTGTGGAATGGAGAGTTACACACACTATTATAAAAGACTTCTAAGAACTTTCTTATCATTGACACTCGACGGCAAGACAGCTTATTCCTACTCATTCGGTTGATCTGAGGTTGTTGGAGAGACCCCTTTGTCGCCCACCAGTCGTGCCTCCGAAGAGCACCTTATTCGAAGAATGTTCATTCCAAGTGTGGGGTGGGTTCCCAAAAGAGGGGGACATTGGAGTTTTACTTGCCCAACATTCCATTTAGCACGGACAGAGCCGTTTAAAATGAAGGTGCTCTGAACCGCATCTACGCTAACAACCTGCTTTACGACCAAACGGAGCGAGTGCAATTCAAATCACTTGTTTTGCAGGGGAGGTCCCTGACACCATTCCATTTGGAAAAATGCTAAACGCAACGGCTTTGATTGGCAAGTCGGCTAGCGTATTCCTCAGACTTCATCCTTATTGAAAACGTAGAGGTATCGTGGTTCGCGGTCTCTACGTCATTGAACAAAAGAGTAATATCACAAGTGACCTAACACGTCGGTGAAATTTGCTAGTTGGGAACAGATCTGCAAGACATGTATCCAGACCCCATTCATAGCATGCCAAACAGAATGGCTCAACTTACTAGAAACTTTGGTAGGCCTACCGATTTCAGATTCTGAAGATATTGCCGTTTTTCAAAAAGTGTCCACATAATTTTGATACAAAGAAAAAACTTTCCATGAAAAATAGTTCGCTAAGTTAGAACGAAATCTTTTGCCGAAAATATCATTGTAGGTTATCGACCACTAGGAGTTGAATGGTGGAGGTTTCATGACATAAAAGCCTTTAGCTGACCCCTGAGAATCGATTCCAGGGTGTCCACATACTTTTGGTACGCACTTCGTACGTAGTTTACTCTGGAGCTAAGCGGTAAGTCACACGTCGGAGAATAAAGTGAGCACTCACCAATTCCCATGACAAACATGGCGAGTCCCCAACCAACCGACGCGAATAGACGAATTTTTCCGAACTGAAATCATTGGCTTCAACTTGCACTCCTCAAAAAAGGCTGCCATAACTCAAAGCTTTTTCCGATTATCAACGAAAATTAAGCTTAAAGTGGAATTGACCCTTTCATCCATGCATTCGATATTGCTCCAATAGACGAAAGCACATATCCAACACCCCAAGCGGTTCCCACACCTTTACACCGTCCTCACGGACCACTCGGCGGGCAAGCCAGATTCCTCATTTTCTATATTCTTCGCCCATATGGAATGCGCGGATAGTGGAGAAAGGGGAGGGGGTACCCGACAGCTTACCCATCGCGCGGCGAGAAGGCGGAGAATGCGGTAAGTCCGCAGCGCGTTTCTGCAACTCCCTAAGTTTGATGGACTGTCTATAATACTCCCACAACGCAACAATTCCGCGCAGCCGACTCGTCCGCCGACCCGTTCCTGCGTCTTTACCTTCTCGCCGCGCGGCGAATGTCCTGTCCTGTACCCGGAAGCGCAAAAAGCGCCATCATGCGCCATCGTAGAATGTTGAGCATGACCTTTAGAAAGGTCAGGAGTGTTTCTCCAAGTATGCGCCAGCAACTCTATTGACGCGTACGCTCCTTCCACACTGTCCGCACCGGTCGCAGTGTCTGCACGTCTCGCACCGGCACAAAGAATGAAAACGCCTTTCTCAAGCAGCTACTGCTATCCCTATGATTTCGTGTTTGCGAGCTTGTCCACGTCTTTCAGAGGGATCCAAATTTTGCGCATGGGATAATCAGAGCCTATGTCAAAAACCTTAAACAGAAGAAATTCGAAAACAGAAGAGCAAACAAAGGGTTTTCTCCCATAGATTCATTTCATGGTGGACAAAACAAAAGCTTCGTGCGCATAAGGCGTAAAAAATAGATTGAATGCTCATTTAAATTCCATGAAAATGAATTTTTTGATGGCACTATTCCGAATTCCTAAGAGAGGGCTCTAAAAGCCCAATAAATGCCTGCTGCCATTCAGCGTCCATCTCAATAATGACCAGATCCGTACGATCAAGGAACTGAGCTCTAGCTCCATAAAATCACACCCACTATGTAGGCCGTTCCTCGGAGCAATTTTGTCCTGTGCTCCTTCGACTTTCAGATTTTGTTCACAGAAATTGAATATCTCCTACTCCGTTATGCCCCGAAAAACTAACACGGGAGGTCTTTCAAGACAAGGTCCACTTTTTCAAACTAGTTTTGTGCATATTTTAGGGACGCATGTAGGGAACGCAAAACCATGTTTCATTTTCGCTGAACGGTTATAGCAGTACCAAAAAAGAAGCATAAGGTACTGTTAAGGGTTCGATCCCCCGTGGCGACTAAATTTTGCATTTGGGTTGGCGCCTACGGTTTGGTGCCAAATCGCGCTAAATATCAAATCAGATGTCAAATTCATCGTCAGGACCATTTTGAAGCCAACAAGTGGCCGCCAACCTTGATTGCAAAATTTAGTCGCCGCGGGGGATTGAACCATCAAGAGTATTATTCACCACTTTTTTGGTACTACTTAAAACCCTTTCAGCGAAAACGAAGCCCATGTCTTCTTTGCTGGCCATATCATGCGTCTTCTACATGTACAAACCGTTTTTTCCCAAAAAGCGCCCTTGCCCTGAATAGGACCTCTTCCTTGTAAAGTTTCCCAGTTCAATTCTAGTCAAAACACCAGAGTTTGTTCACATATTACCGTGTACAGAAATGAGACCCTTATGACTTTCCCGTGCCTTTAAATCAAGTGACTTACCTTCTCTTGTGGATTATCCTTTGTAGCATTCAAAGTGGCGGCATCGGCAAGCGCCAATGCTGGTGAAGAAAAGAATTCTCCTAGTGCGATCAACACAGAAGTAACATAAATGCCTAGAAAAAAAGAATAAATTAGGTGAGGATGGTGCTGACCTTCGTGATCTCACCCTATTTCTTGAACCGTGAAAACTTGTTGGAGTGGATTATCACAATATCTTGATCTTAAAGGACGAATTTACGATGGAAAAGCAACCCATTCCAAATTGAGGTAGAGATGGTGAGTAGTACCAGAAAGAAAGCGAAACCACGAAAAACGGCCCAGAACCGGAGAAATGGGACCCCTTCCTTGTCCGTTGATTTGAGCATTGATGGGACTCTCATCGCTTTGCCCTCTTCAACCCTACGCTCTCTCAGCTATCTAATCACTCGCCACCTATTGTACTACGGCGAGTGATCAGACGATCGGTGGGCGGAGATCGCCGAACTCGCCAACTTTGAGCCATGCTAGATCTCAGAGGTCAAATCTTTCGATGCCGATTGCGTGTCTGTCCGCACCCTCAAGAGATTCACCGCTCTCCCCACTAGGCGATTTCTCCCTTCTTCGACCTTCGTTCTTTCCGTGCAATCCTCCTTTAAGGCAAAACGGAGATAAGGCCCACCAAGTACGAACCGCGCCCGAAAAGTAATTTTCGTAGTTGAAATCAGCTAATTATTACTAATTAAATTATTATCAATTAAATTAATAATTATCACTTATTATACTTGTAATAACTTCGTTACTCCACGCTAATAAACTAAGGAATCTTAAAGGCAGCGATTACGATAAAGAGGGAGCGCATCGGGAAGCATATGCACCACACGAATCAGTTACTTGGCTGCCAGGAAGCGAGGTGTAGCGCTTTCACGACGAAAGGTGCGCTGGTTGCTGAGCAGGACTTCGAAAGCACTCCGCCCCAAAAGCGATCCGCCCACTAGTTTAGTTGGTGATTTGGACGAGCTGCGTTGCCAGCAGCGGCACAACTGGAGCAACTCGATTGGAGCGTTTGGCATGGTGCCACCAAACGCATTGCGATGAACTCGTTCATACGTTCGCGTTCTGAACTATTACCAGTTCATGACTGAAAACTGTCCCGGGGTCCTGTTTTACGTTTCCTTGGCGGATTTTTCCGCTTTTTATTGCCACTGGCGTACCATTGAGTATCATCACGTTTCCTCTAGA